AACTTCACAATGCATAAGCTCGAATTGGGAATAAATTTGACTAAAAGCAGTTTTGATACTTACATACGGCTTTTTTCTTCGCGTGATAACTCTTTCGGCAGCATAAAATTTCGAATCTCGCCTTTTCGGCTTACTATTGTACAATACAACAGATGATAAAGAGTTCATCTGCACGTAGTCGACATCGATTTTGCATTTTCTACGGCTTTCTCTCTTACTGCTGGCGGCCATCTTGACCATTCACTTTAAATAACGATTACTCGAAGTTTTCCGCGCGTCAATTACCGCTGCCGGTGGCGACCTGCGGCGCATGTCTCAAATTTCTGGCGATGTTCTTCTGGCAGCCATGACTTTTTCTTTGGCGAGTCTTCAAACAAACTTGCAGACGATAGCTTTTGGTCTGCTTGAAGCCAATCACGATGGTACTTGATGTGCTGTGCCAATATCATTCAAAGATACATCTTCTGCTCCCAAAGCAGTAAATAACTTGATACAGAGATTAGCAGTCTGTTGGGCAGATTCTTTTTCGGCTATTTCTGGTACTCCCACAATTTTAACATTGAACTGATAGCTGTATGCTTCAGATTCTTCGACAGTTTTTGCAATCAGATCACATCTTTCTGAAATTTTGTTCGACTCTAATAAGTATATCTTGTATCTGTCTTTTGGCTGTTTCTTTAAATTGAGAAAGCTCATCATATTGAGAAGAGATAAATTCAACAGATCGAGCTCGCTCTGGTGAGATATCTTTCTTCTCGGTTTGTCGGCCATGTTGTTTCTTCGCCTTCAACTTTGATTTTGAGGAGAGACCTTCAGATACCATCAGCAAATTTGCTTTCAACTCAGCGACTTCATCTCGTCAAAGCTTGGTTTTCTTTTTGCAATGCTTCAAAAGCCTTGTCATGATGATTAATGAAAAATGTTTACTGTTATCAAGAAAAATTTTCAAGCATCGACAATAACACACGTCCGCTCTTGGTTCGATAGTTCACCACGAAGGGGGTGCCACAAATTTGCTTTTCTAGGCACTTTTTCCCACAATGGCCTAAGTAATTTACAAACTGATCATACAGAATCGTTATTTTCTCACAAAAGTTTCACAGTAGCGCATTTAGTTGCAAACTAAATGCGCTACTGTATATGATAAAATAGTACTGAACAAAATTGGAAATTGTAACATTCCTAACATTTCAGGTCTTCAGCCTGATCACCATGAATCCGATGATGCTTCAGATGAATGGTTCAGAAATGAATCTGAAGGTAATACATGGCTTGGTGTTGTTAACTAAGCATGCCGCCATGAGTTCTTTGATGGATGCTGTAATGTAAATTTAGTTACAGTCGATCATGATGGCAGTCGATCATGATGTTAATGATTATTAATTTTACCATATAATCATTATGGTACTTCTGCTTGTTAACTGAAACTGTAATTGATATATTTGTTTAGAAAGAGACTTGCTTGCAGCATTGGATGACTTAGATCTTGAAAATGGGGATACAAGGGATCATGACATCACACATACATTGCCATTTAAATGTATTGGTGCAGCACATGAGAAAGAATATCAAGAGAGTCTGGAGAAAGCTCATCATGTTCTACATGAACAGAAAAAGGATGTTGCTGTCAGACCAAGACCTGAGCCAAACAACATTAATGATGGCAATGCAATTGCTATTGACATGGACTATATGGGTCAGACTGGAAAGTGGTGGGATATATAGCAAAGGAATTCTGTTATTACTTGCACCCTTTACTTGCAGCAGATGACATTTGTCAATGTTTATGTGGAACATATTGTTTTTAGGGTTGACTTCTTGAAATACGGATTTTATCCAAAAATCATGATAACAAGGCGTGGACAGTGGGCCCAAAATGTAGTTAGAAAGAGCAAATCAGTCCGCTGACACTTTTCATTACAATTTATATCAAATTATGTACTGTTTAATAAACGAGCAGGAGTGTTTTATTAGGTTTAAAGCCACGAGCGCGCAGCGCGAGTAGCTTTAGACCTAATAAAACACAACCTGCGAGTTTTTTAAACAGCTTCAAACACGACTACAAATTCAATAGATATACTGCCAAATTAGTAATCTTTATATAAAGAATACTAATGAGGACAAGACTACAATAGAATACTGCCTTATTAGTATTCTTTATATAAAGAATACTAATCAGGAGTGTTTTATCAGGTTTAAAGCCACTGCACGTGACATATTATGGTTGACATAATTTGCCAATAAGCTTATGAATTATTAATGAGTGTTTGAAATATAGTGTACATACATATTAGTTCTAATTTAAAATTTTAATATTTTTCAGACTATTTATAACTATATTAACCCATTGAGTGGCACCACTCTCCCCCTGATGAGTAACATCGTCTGGCGTTAGACAGAGTAAAATAATAAAGTGGGGTGCATTAATTGCCACTTAAATGGTTAACAGGGTGCATGGGCAGATAGTCTGATTAACCCATTGAGTGGTCGCAGCACTCTCCCTCTAATGAGTAAAATCGTCTGGCATTAGACAGAGTAAAGTAATAAAGTGGGATGCACTTCCACTTAAAGGGTTAAAATTGAACATTGCCCATGTTGGCATCAGGGGAGGTGTAATGGAAAAGCATCATGGAAAGCTTTTTCATCAAAAATGGATCCCAGTATCCTGTGTAGTAAGGCAAAAATCCCCTCAACATCATCACTTGAGCCTGCCCTTGGATGTTCTGGTTCAAGACCCATTTTCTTGCCATATTGTCTTCAAAACTCCTGTATATGAATGAAATGCATATAATACTTATAAGTAATAGCATGGCATTCAGGGTGATTAGTGATTAAATGTACCCGAAAGCAGAGAGGTTTAGTAAAAGCGCTGAGGGACTTTTACTAAACCTCTCGAGGCTTGAGGGACATTTCATCACTAATCGACAGTAATGCCATGCTATTACTTTGTAATGTAATAGTTGCCGAGGGAATCGTGCGTGGTGTATTGCCTGTTTTGAATGCTGTTTGATTGTCTTATGATTGTTGTACGAACACTTTTCATATATACGCACACGCAGAAACACATCTCCGTGTTCATTCGTTTTAGGCATGCGCATAAACAGAATTTTCTCCCACAATTGTAATGTTCAAGATTAGGGAATAAAAGCTGGCAAAGTGATTGTTCGAATGTGTATGGGACGGTGTCGTCAGATACTGTCCATAGTTGTGCCGATGATTTTCGATGAGGTACAGCTCTCCAATCAGAGGTAATTTCCCGGGAAATTTAGTTTTGTTTTTTGTTTTCAAACAAAGGATTTCTTTGTCTTCTAATTTTCCCTTGCATGCTTGATGAGGGAAATTTAGAAGACAAAAGCGTATGCATGGGTAATGAGGTAAATTAGTGATTAATCATAGCTCACAAGACAAAGGATTTCGAGGCAACTATGGTATTATTATAAGTAATAGCATAAATGACCCTCATCGAGCGGCGCCCAAGGGAATTATACTAAACGACCCTCATCGGGCGGGACGTTTCAATAGCTAATTCGCTTCTTTTTATGCTATTACCTTATAATATCATGATTGCGGGTATTCCCGTTGTTCTGGCAGGGCCATTAAAAACCAATTAAAAATAAATATTGGTATAAATTAAATGGTATAATTGTTTTCCCTGTCTTTGTTTAGTTTTGGCGATTTCAGATATCTTCATTTATATTCATTTTTTCTAATCATACCCGCTTTGACGTCGTTTCGGGTAGGATTAGAACTAATTCTACCTGACATGACGTAAAAGCGGGTAGGATTAGAAAAAATGAATATAATGAGGTGTATTAGTTATTAATTGCCCTGCGAGAACAAAGGGAATACCTGCAATCATGATATTATAAAGTATATACAAAACAATAGATAGTGTCTCCGAAAATTGAAAGCATTTTGAAAATTTATTTCGAAGTCGAAACGTTGAAATAAATTTTCAAAATGCTTTTAATTTTCGGAGTATCTATTGTTTTGTATTTTATCAAAATACTTTGTGGTTCCCGTTATTACTGAAGTATATAGTACCACAAACAATCACTGTTATTCAACAGACATTAATCAGCCGTTTTTGCTGACTGTAACAAAGTGAACAGTGCGAAAATTCAAATCACTAATTTTTGGTGAAGACTCAGCCCTCCAATTTGAAAGCTCATAATAATACAGAGAACACAATCATATGTACACAATTATAATTTTAGTCTATAATAACCCATCTTACCCGACTTTCAATATTAGTTGTTAGTGCCACAATGACGTCTCGTGTAAGGCCACATATTCCTCTTATCGGTATGAAAAGGACAAGAAAAATGAAAATAAATCTTTCAGCTGTCGAGTACATTACTTGGAAAAATATCAAGATTTTGTTGGCATCTCACTCGATTGTATAATAGTTGAAGGGTCCTGGAAATTTATATACATTTATTAGACCTAACTAGAAAAAGCTGTGAAAAATGCAACTTTAGGTCCCTGGCATAATCGAACCTGCAGCACTCCAGCAACCGAGCCACAGAGGCCACTAAGCTCTCCAGCTCTATAACCGCAAGTTCATGTATATATAATTAATATGTAGGTAACTCCATACTATTCACAATCATTATTATTTGCGGAAATTGAAATCAATTCTTTCATTTTTTGTATTTCAGGGATAGGTACTGAATAACTATTATATAACTAGATGAACCTACCTATTAGGATCTAAGGTAGAGAAGTCTCTATTTTCTCTGACCCATGGCATCCAATCTTCCAATAAATAGTCCAACATTGGTAAGTTGTACTCTGAGCGTGTCTCTTCACTAAAGCCACGACCATCACTTGCCTTTGCCAGTTGGAGACGCTTTCCACAAATCTTGTTTCTTCATCATAGCCATTCAACTTTAGCCACCTGGCCACTGCAGGTGACAGAAGTTTCTCCGCATCACCAACACTCTGTTTCCTCTTTCCTGTCAATGGCGTATATGTCAGACCGGTGTTAGGATCGTGCATAGCTTTGACAAAGGCCTGAAGATTAATGTTGGGAATGTGTCCCTTACGGAGACTTCCTGTAATCCTTTTCAGCACATGGTTATGGTCTTCTCGATGGTGTTGTGGCTCCCCAGTTTTCTCACTCACTTCTGGTATGTAAAGATGCTCTTTTCTGCGAAGGATGAAGATTCATTTCCAAATGACATTTTTGATTCTCCATTCATAAGCTCTGCCAAGAACTGGACATCTTCCAATGGAATTGCCTTGTGGTTATTACTTGGTAAGATAGTACAGTCTACAGTAAAAAGAAACGACAGAGTGTAAATATATTTAAATGTAAATATGTTTAATGCTACCTATTGATACTGCTTTACATTGACTCTCCAGGTGGGGGCTAATACTGGAGCTTTTGGGGTTAACATTTTTTGGAACACTCAGTAAATTTGCCTAGATCAATGAAGAATGATTTAATTTATTACATAAATTTATGACACTACATGTAGCTGTATATCTACCCTTTTAAATAAGAAAGAAGAATTTCTCAATCTGGTTTGCTCCTTTTTCGACAGTCCCCTTGCATCATTTTTAGCATCCATTATAATCAGAACAACATACACTGCAGGTCTTTTGGATTCCTGTGCTCATAATGAGTGAAACTCTCCATCGCTGACAAATCCTGGGGAAAAATAATAAAATAAACTATAACAAACAAAATATAAACATGTAACTATATATATACCCTTTTCAATAGGTAGGAAGAATTTCTCAATCTGCTTTGCCGACAGTCGCCTTGCTTCATTTTTGGCATCCATCATAATCTGAATAACAAATACTGGTCTTTTGGATCCTTGTGTTCGTAACGAGTTAATCTCTCCATCACTACTGACAAATCCTGGGGGGAAATAATAAAATAAAAGTAAATGTTACCGTAGCAGGAAGCAATTATATCAACATACTATGTGAGATTTATAGATCCATACTCATCTGTCATGAACAGTATATAAAATGTTTAGCTGGACCTTCATGTATTGTTACACAATCACATAAAGGTACGTCACACAAGCACAAGAGCTGTTTGTGGAACAAAACCATACCAATCATGCTATAAGTTGGTTAAACACCTCGAACGTCAGCGTTCTCAGTGTTTAACCTATACTTAGTCAACTAATGGATTGAGTGGATATTTTTACCTTCTGAGACCATACCAATATCTTCCATGGCCGATTTCATTTCTTCATTCAGTTCTCTCATTTTCTTATCAATCAGACTATGGTAATTAACAACCCAAACAGGAATGGCATAAGGCTTGAAATTGTGTTTCTCTTCACTGAGCATAAATATTAGAATGTGTGAAGCAGCCTCCCTCTTCTTGCTTGACACACCCAAGGAAAGACCAAGTAACATAAACTGTGATTCCCCCTTTGAGTATCAACAATGCCTGGCTTTATACCACATACTTAAATTATGAGCACTGGAGTTTTAGTGTGTATTATTGTTCACACTGTACTGTACATGACTGTATCATAGCAGCGAACAGTACTGTTCAATAACAGAACATATCAACTTTATTACATGGACATTTACAATTATATAGCTATTAGTATTTAATTACTGTACCTTTCACATATTCCACCAAATTATTTTGAAGGGAACAAACAGCACTGCGGATGTTCATAGCATGGGTGCACCCACTCTCAATAATATGGATAATTGAGGTTGCTGATTGCATCAAGGATTGATACTTATTTAGTAAAGCACTATACTCATCCAAATTCCATGCAGAAGCAAACATTTAATTCTCAGAGGTACTAGGTGTTTGTCGCAGCTTATCATATACTTTCTTGGCTTCTATATGTGCTGATGTCAGGAATTCCTTTCATTATTCAACTTTGCCAGCTGCAACTTTAGATCTTCCTCAATGCAATTTAGTGGAGCTCGACTGTTTAATCCAACACAACATACAAATTTCAGATAATTTATGTATTCTGCATGTCGTTTCTCCAGATCACCATCACCCACATCTGACCATATGTTCTTCACAGACTCTCTCAAACCTTCTTGAAGGTCCATCCCGTCAGCTTTGATCCACCACCTTCCATTTGGATATATATATATAAAATGATAATATAAAATGAATAAATATGTACAAGTAATGTTGACTGACAGTGGAAACAAGTGTGATAAATTGTATTTAATTTATAATTTTGACTTTGTTATGTTTATATACACTTCCACACTCATTTTTTTACATGGATATAAAGGATTTTTGCATTGCAAATAATTACAGCGTTAATCATTTCCTTGTTTACTAGGCTAGCACTATATTAATTGGCCAAGTACTCATGTTGACCATCAGTCAATGAATACAAATACTAGTATCAACCTGAATCTTTGCACTTTTGTTGAAATCACCACCAAGGTTCATTCCCCTAATAGTTTGTGAAGAAGGTCCAGCAATATTCACTTTTTCCTAAAAAGTGAATAAATTAAAATGTAAAGTCCACTAAAATGTACAAGCTGGCTGAACTATCATGATCGCATCTTGAAATATATTTCCTCTTACATTTCAAACATGACATTGTCATAATGTCTTAACCAAACCTATTGGCTGGTCAAGTTTATTTCTGGTCCCAATTTGTCAAAATTTATGAATTTTGGTTCAGTACCCTTCCCAATCTTCAAATCGCTCCACAGTAACATGTTAAAACATATTTACATAAGTATAGTGTTCTCTTTTACTTATATCTTCTTAATAAAAAACAAAAATGTTAAAAGCATGTTAAAGCTCTTACTGTACCATGCTTTCCTGAATTTAAGATTGCCTGTTTTCATTGGTAGGTTTATAGAAAATACTGTATCCTTCTCTTTAATTAATACAACATTGTACAGTACCTGTAATGGATCTCCTCTGATTATTCTGCCAACATGAACTGAATTATTTGTGACACTGACATCTTCATCCACATCTTCTGTGTTCTCCCTGCTTTCTGCAACAACAACATCCGAATCATTTGCAAAACTGACAGTAGATTAATTTAAAAGTTCAAAATCATCTCCAAACGATTCTTGCAATGCTTGGGAAAGAATGTCAGTTGATGCCAAGGTGTTACTTGTCAGAGATACATCTCCACACTCTAACTCATATGACCACAATGATCCAAGATGCATGGATGCCCCATTTGTTCCCAAACAAAGTGTACAAACTCTGAAACCATGATTTATAATCCCCAGATGGTTCAAGAAACTTTACATCGTCTGATGCAAAAAACTTCAAATTGTGAGCAATAAGCCTGAAAGGCATTCTATCTAATGGAAGTCTTGGAATATCCATTCCAGGGCGTTTTTCTCCAAAACAGCGGGTAGCATGGTATATGATGTTATCTTTACCAGCACTTTGTAAAACACTCATAGCTTTCATTACAAGTGGCAAGAAGTCATAGGGAACAAAGATAGTACCAAAATTAAGACAGTCTGGTGTACTATTAATCCACACATGAAACAAATGGACAAGCAGTTGTTCACATTGCCTTGAAGTTAACTTCTTGAACCCAGATGAAACATCAAGTATACATCCAGGAAGTTTAATGACATCAGTGTCGCACAATGGTGAGAATCCCAGTAATGGAGATTGTACCTGGGTAAATTGGTCACTATGAACTTGCAGGCTCACAGCTGGACATCCATTTGAGGTGCTACTTGTCTTCCCCACATTAAAATAACAAATGTTATATTCATCTTCTGCTTCTTCTGTTGTTTCAAACTTTTCTTTTAAAAATCGTCTGACTTTATCTCGGCATGCACCTCCTATGAGGAAATAAACACAAATTTAAACTTATCAGAAGCATGTCAATAATTGATTACTTACAATGCCACAGGGATATTTTTAGGAATGTACTCACTAATTACATTTGTATATGTTAATTAACCCCATTAAGCCGCAGTGCGCCCCAGTGCACCTTTTTTAAACTTGTCTAACACCAGACTATTTTACTCGTCAATGGGGTAGCTTTACAGCTCAATGGGTTAATGATGATTTTTTACAAACAATTAAGCATTTTCAAGTACTTACCAGTCCGATTCGTTTGTTGATTGGAACAGTTAACTGCTTCAGCACATTTGTTCCAAAACTGCTCATTCTTGTGTGTTGGCCACACGGTACTAGAAGCTTCATCTGGTGCATGATAAAGTGCCACATATTCCACCAAAGATGAAATGTCATCATAACTCCATTCATTCTGTGTCAATTTGAAAAAATATATATATAATTTTCAACCAACTGTAGCAATTAAAACAATTCATGGGAATTGTTATCATATAGCATACAAAATATGACCAAATGGACTACAATATTTCTATATTTTAATGTTGTATTAAGCCTACTGGACATGTCATGTGGGCTGAATATCCCACAAACAGGAAAATTACACAGAAACTACAGATTCTCCCTTTTTTTTAATTACAGTCCCAGTTTGAAACGAAGATTTCCTTGTGGTCTTTTTTACATTTTCTTGCATATGCCTTTTTGGTGGTTTCTTTCCATGTGTAGCACCAGTTGGAGGACTGTGATATCTCTTGGTGCTTTCAGACATTAGATACTTTGTTAAGATATAACTAGGTGGTGTTGAACTATGGAAAAAAATTGAGAAGTATACATAAGACTCACAACATTATAGTTTTAATATTTTATAGTTATAAATGTACAATATATTTTACAGGCAAAGAAGGGTTCACACTTCATTATTGCAGGTGGTTTTTATTATATATTAACATTGATAGGTGCATTAAACACAATGTTTGTTTGCCTAAAACATGTATTATAATATCAATTAGGATCTTATAGCTCAAAACAAAACTTAAAATATGTGGATATTTTGTGTTTAATATTAATGAACCTTAACAATCATACAACTACAAGGATACAAAGTATCTAGACGATTCATAGCATAGCCATAGTGGTGTACAAGAATATGATCATCCATATTAAAAGCGTAATATTTCGTGAATGGCGTCGGGGGGCGAATGGTAAAAGTTGTAAATTAGACATCTGTTTTAAATATTGGTGACAAATAATGGACGTCAGAGAAGTGAGAAAACATATTTTTTCATTTAAATGTCGCTGACACAGACAGGGTTTGTTTACACGTGTGTGAGTTAAGGGACCCATTGAGACACACTTACCCGACAAAAGACATAATATATTCAACAGTAAAACAAAATGCGCCAAGATATGCATTTCTATCAAGGAAAATTTACATACAGAGTGAGGAAAATATGCAAATTCTAAAGCTGAAGATTTCCTTGGCTTTGTGTTTGTTGTGAAGCGCAAATGTAGATACGTTCTGCTGATTGGTTAAACTGTGCATGTGACTGCCTGTCTAACCTCCTCTGTTTGTGAGCTGTGT